TCATCATCATCATCATCATCATCATCATCATCATCATCATCATCATCATCATCATCATCAGCATCATCATCATCATCATCAGTATCATCATCATCAGCAGCATCACCATTATCACCAGCATCATCATCCTCAGCATCCTCAGCATCGTCAGCATCCTCATCATCAACCATCAGCATCAGCATCCTCATCGTCATCATCATCAGCAGCATCAGCAGCAGCATCAGCATCAGCATCATCAGCATCAACATCAGCATCAGCATCAGCATCATCAGTTTTCCTATCATCAGCAGCAGCATCTGCATCCTCATCGTCCTCCTCATCCTCATCCTCGTCATCATCATCCTCATCATCATCAGAAGCAGCATCAGCATCAGCATCAGCATCAGCATAAGCATAACCGTCATCATCGTCAGCAGCAGCATCCTCATCATCAGCAGTAGCAGCAGTAGCATCATCATCATCAGCAGCATCATCATAATCAGCATAATCATCATCTGCAGTATCAATATCATACTCGTTATCATCATCATCATCATCATCATCATCATCATCATAATCATCATCATCATCACCATCATCATCATCATCATCACCATCACCATCACCATCACCATCATCATCATCATCATCATCATCATCATCATCATCATCATCATCATTATCATCATCCGCCTCCTCCGTTTCCTCCTCCTCCTCCGCCTCCTCCGCCGCATCCTCCGCCTCCTCCTCCTCCTCCTCCTCCTCCTCTTCCTCCTCCTCCTCCTCCGCCTCCTCCTCCTCCAACCTCCTCCTCCTCCTCCTCCTCCTCCTCCTCCTCCTCCTCCTCCTCCTCCTCCTCCCCCGCCTCCGCATCCCCCTCCTCCTCCTCCTCCAACCTCTTCCAAACTCCTTTAGCCTCCTCCAACCTCCTCCTCCTCCTCCTCCTCCTCCTCCTCCTCCTCCTCCTCCTTGGAGTGAAAAGGGACGAAGCCTGTCACGGCTCAGCCGCGCTGGCGAAACCGGAGCTCAAGGCCGCGCCAATCGCCCTGCACCCGCGCTGCGACGGCGTCCCACAGGAGCTTCGGAGGACGACTCGCGACGAAAAACTCGAGGTCCCGCTTCGTCTTCAGCCCTACCAGATGAACAGGAAACTACATCAACATATACGTTCGGGGGTTCGCGCGGATTTCTTGGATCGGCGCTGGACCTCCCTCCCTGGCACACGGAGCGCGCCAGAGGCGGCGCTGGAGGCGCCGCAAGGGGGGCCTGGCCCAGATCCAAGAAATGCGCGCGGAGCTCCGAACGTTTATGCTCATGCCTTTGTTCCTTCCTCGACCTACGACGATGGCCGCCACCGCGCCGTGCCACCGCAGGGACCCCGGCTTGCAACCCGCCGGGGTGAGGCCCTTCGCCACACGGAGGGCGACGCCGAGCGGCAGGGCCGGCGTGCCCTGCGCGAGCAGGGTGTCCACCCGCACCTCGACGGCCTCGACGAGACGCCCCCCGAGCTCGGAAGCTGGCGCCAGCGTCAGCTCCCGCAGCTCCAGCAGCTCCATGAGCAACTCGAGCGGGGGCTGGGCGCCCGTCGCCTGCCTTGAGACGACAACGAGGTCATGGTCGGACTGGCTCAGGATACGTTCCAAGAGCTCCGCAATATCTAGCGGCCCTCGTTTCTGAAGCCCGTGTGGGCCGTTTAAAAAACCTTACCAGTCCTGGAAATCTCGAAAATGCTGGATCGTGCCATTACCATGACCTCTTGCTCAACTGATGCCTGGCAGAGACCGCCCCCTCGCAGATGGGCAGTATCAAGGCCTCCGCGCGGACCTCGCGCGCCAGCCGCGCCTCCGCGCCAGCGCCGCCGCTGGCCAGCGACGGCGCCGAGGACGCGCGCGCGGCCCACGCACCTACCTCTCGCAGAGCATCGCTGGCGCGGGTCCAACGCGCGACCTTGTCGGCCAGCGCGTTATCCACCCAGGCGCGCCACCAGGCCACCAGCGGGGGTCTACCGCCTGGGGGGCCGGACGACCAGTCCTCGAGGAGCAGCTTCGACGCGGCGATCATCTGCCCCACGGTCAGCGTCAACAACTGCTGCTCCAGGCCTCGGGCGAGCATCGCCCGCAGGGGTGCTGGCAGGAGCGCGCTCCGCGACCAGGCCTCGACGACAGCCCCGAGCCTGCCTCGCGGCACCCTGCCCAGCAGCCCAGATTGGCTCGCCGCCACGGCTTCGGCGAGCGCACTGGTCAAGGCCTCCGGCGCGTCCGTGAGCTCGTCCGCCAGCGGCAGCAGCGCCACCGCCAGGGCCTCTGGACGCAGGGCCTCCCACCGCGCCAGCAGCGCGTGCACGATAGCGGGGCAGTGCTCCCCCCTGACCTCGGTCGGCAACGCCCGAGCCAGGGGGAACAGCTGAGCAACCCCATACTCTTGCGGATTTTTCCTCGCGGCGCGCAACAGGCAGTTCGACACCTGCGTCGCTGCAGCGCCCAGCCGCGAGCCGAGCCCGCCGAGCAGCTGCTGCGCCTGCCAAGGCTCCAGCTCCTCAAGCGCCCCGGCGATCGCCAGCAGCCCAACGAGGCGCTCCACGCGCGAGAGGTCAGCCGCCAGAGTCGTTGCGGGATCTTCCGCTGGTGCCGGGCAGGCTGGCCCCGTCTGCGGCTCTGGCACCAGCCACGGCTTCCTGCGAAGCTCGTGGCCCTGCTTCGCGAAGCGGAGGGTCTCGCCCTGGTTTATAACCGTTCCCCACCATGGGGTGTCCCTGTACTTGGTGCTTTTCCTCGCCCAAGCCCTCTTCGTGCGGGGGACCCTGGGCAGCTTGATGTCGATGGAGTAGGGCTTCTCCTGCTCCAGCAGGCTTGCCCCGCCAGCGGCGGCGTACTCGAGGCAGGCCGACAGCACGTCCCCTGCGCTCGCGCCAAATCGGCTCCACGAGTCCAGCGGGGCGAATTGCTCCTGCGCGGTGGCGACAGGTGAACCCGCTGCTCCTGCCCCACCGCCGCCAGCGGGCGCCTCGAGGGGCGGGCGGGCGGGCGCGCCCGCGAGAGCCTCGAAGAGCGCCACCCGAACCCTGAAGCTCGCGCCCGACAGCACGCCCCAGAGGCCGGCCGCGGCCACGTCTTCCGGGCCCAGGCGGCTCAGGGTCCGGCAGAGCACCCCGAAGCCCTTCGGCTCCTCCAGCAGCGACAGCCTCGCTCCCGCCGCCGCAGCCAGGCACCGCGCCGCCAGCGCCGGCGCCGGCGGCGGCAGCCTCCAGCCGCGCGCCAGCTGGCGCGCTGACGGGCCAGCGAGCAGCTGCAGGAGTCGCTGCAGACGCTCCTCGACCTCGTCCTCTGGCAGCCCGCCGTCCTCAAGCTCGCCTGCCAAACGCTCGAGCTCCGCGGCCACGCAGGCCTCCGCGGGCGCCCCCGCGGCTTTGGCGCCCGTGCCGCCCACCAGCGGCGCCTGGTCGGGCTTGGCCATCTGCACCAGGGACATCTTGAAGGCAGCCCGCAAGGCCTCGTCCGGTACCTGAGCCAGCAGGCCGCCCAGCAGCACGGACAGCTCGTACGTCCTCTGGCGGGAGGGCCCGTGTGCGGTCATCGAGGCCCAGAAGCCTGCCAGGAAGCCCCACACCCGCTCCTCCAGCACCTCATCGGGCGGCGCTGCGGCCACAACCCCGCGCAGCTCGCGCGCCTGCGCCCGCAGGTCGTCGAACAGCGCGTCGTCACCCAGCTCCTCCCTGAGGGTCTGGGCTGGCTGCGCCTCAGCGGCCCCCTGCGCGGCGCCAGAGCGCAGGGCGTCCAGGGCCGCGCGCGCGTGCGTCGGGGACAGCTCCCTGAAAGGAGACTCAGCCTTGGGCCGCACCGAACAAAGCGCGCGCCAGATGCCGGCTGGGGGTCGTCTGACACTCTTGCCCTTGTTCCCCGTGGCGAACCAGGCCGCGTCGGCGGCGGCGGCGCCCCCCGGCGGTGGAGCGGTGAAGTCCACATCCTCGCCGCGCTCGCCCACCTCCTGCGAGCCCAGCATCCTCGAGATGTCTGACCACGCCTTTGCCCGCCTGGCCACCACCCGCGGTCGCTTGCGCGCGGCGCGGCTCTGGCCAGCCCAGCGCGCCGCAAGGGCGCCCAGAAGGGCGGGCGCCAAACGCGGCGCCGCCGAGCTGGCTGGGCCGGTGGGCGTCAGCGCCGGCGCCGCGGCCGCCGCGGCGGCCGCGGCGGCGGGGGCGGCCCTGGGCTCCGGGGCCCAACGCGGCCGCGGCGTGCTTTCCGCAGCCACCGCCAGGGCGCCCGCCGGAGCCATGGCGGCGCTCATGGCCACCGCGGCGGGCATGCCACCCGCGCTGTAGCCAGGCGGCTGGCGCAGAGCCCCAAGGACTTGGGCCAGGGGCTGCAGATCTCTTCGGTCACGGGGCCTCTTCGGAAATCTTGAGGTCTGATGCGCTCTTGGGCCGTCTTGAGGCCCGCTTGGACCTCTCCTAGGCCGTCTTCGGCCTGTCTTGGGCAGTCTTGGGGCCTCGTGGTGCTCTCTTGGGCTGGCTTGGGGCCCTCTGGGGAAGTCCTACAGCTAGCTCGGGCCATGTTGGAACACTTTTGGAAGTGTCTTGGGCCGTCTTGGAGCGATCTGGGAGGCTCCCAGACTTGTCCTGGGTTGTCAGAAGCTCCAAAAAGCGAAAAGACCACAATCATTGAAAACAAATGAATGGTGCCTCTTGCGGCACCCTTGCGGGTCCTCTAGGGGCTCTTTGGGTGCGTCTTGCGGGCGCGTTGGGCCTCTCGAGGACATCTTGGGCCGTCTTGGAGGGCTTTTGGGCCGTCTCGAGCCCTCTTGCACCTCCCTTAGGTCGTTATCAGGCTGTGTTAGGCCGTCTTGGAGGCTTCTTGTGGCTCTCTTGGGCTACCTTGGGCTGTCTTGGGACCCTCTTGGGCAGTCCTGGCGATCTCTTGGTCCATGTTGGGCGTGCCGTTGGCCGTCTTGGAGCCATCTAAGAGGCTTCCAGACCTGTCTTGGGCGATCAGAAAGACGGAGCAGCGAGAAGGATGATTCCAAAAAATTTGGAGATTCGCCGACCCCTTCGAGTTCTTCGGCGTGTGAGCTAATTGACCCTCCCCAAACCCCTCCCCCGCGAGCCCGGTCCGGCTGGTCCGGAGGGGGGTGCAGCCAGAGGGCCGCCGCACTCATCTAGCTCTGAAAAAGCTCCCAGGCGGCCGTTAGACGGACCAACATGGGCGCAGAACTGCTCCAGATGGCCTCCAATTTGGCCACGTTTGCTCACAGACAGCCCCAGATGGCCTCAAGACAGACTGAGGAGACCCCCCGACACGCCGCAAGAGAGCTCCATTAAGACCGCCAAGAGGACCCCAAGCGGCAAAAGTAGCCCATGCCCCTGATGAAAAAGCTCATATGTTCAGCGCCTTTGCTGTCAGGGCCACGCAGCGTCCACGACGGCCTACGAGGCCTCCCGCCAACATCACCCCAAGATGGCCCACGAGGCCGCCAAGGGAGGCGCAAAACCGCCCAAGAGGGCCCCTCAGACCGCACTAAAAGGGCCCAAGACGGCCACAATAGGTGCCCAAGAGGAGGAAAGCGAAGGTGCCACGAGGCCAAGACAGCCGCAGAGACCGCCGAGAAGCCCCCAAGAAGCTCCAAGCCCCACAAGAAGCCCCAAGGGCCCCCAAGAGGCCTTCAAGAGGCCCTCAAAAGGCTGCCTAGAGGTCCTACGAGACACCCGAATAAGGCCCCACCACGTGGACCAAGACAAGGAACGCAAAGGAATATCGAACCAGCTTTCGGAGCCGTACCCGCTCCGTCGTCTGTTGCTGGCCCCGCACCTTGGCCCCCCAAGGATTGGCGGTGCGGCGTTAACCCGTGAATCCACGTCCGGACTGCGGCGAAGCATCTCGGCAGTCCGAAAGGACGGTTGTGTGACGCAAGGGCCAAGTCACGGTGCTTCAAGGAAGCCATCTTGACATGCATTGTCATTTTAATATGCAAAGCAATCCCCCTTAATCCACGCCAAGGCCCCCACCAAGTCGCCGACCCATTCGGTTCACTTTACAATCTCACCGAATAACCAACCCAAAACCAAGACAAATCACTGATTTGGGCCTCTTTGGCTTCCTCAGGATCCAAGAGGGCCTCAAGTCGGCTCAAGATGCCTTCAAGACAGCTCAAGAGGCCCCCAAGATGGCCCCAGAGAGTCCCAAGGGGATCTCCTAGAGCGCCTCCGGATGCCTAAAACAATGTTGTTTCCTGCGGTATCTTGTGTTTAGCCTTTTCAAAGTTTGGGATTCTCGAGAGCCCTTGACGGCCCAAGCAGCCTGCAAGATGGCCCCCATAAGGCCCAAAGAAGCCCCAGGGCGGCCCAAGAGCACCCCGAGATGGCCCGAAGAGGCCCACAAGACAGTCCAAGAGGCCCTCAAGAGGGCCCAGGACAACCCCAAGAGAACCCCAAGGCGGCCCCGAGAGGCTCCCAAGACAGCCTCCGAAGGGGCCAGACGGCACAAGAGCGCCCCAAGATGGCCCCAGTCGCCTCCAAGAGGTCCCAAAGTGGCCCCCAAGAGGTCCCAAGAGGCCCCCAAGAAGCCTCAAAGATGCCCCAACGAGGCTCCCAGGAGTCCCCACAATGACTGGACTGTACGATTGGGGCCCCCTCTCGCGGGTCATCTGGGACTCCTTTGGGAGCAACGTTCGGCCGCCTGGGGCCGTCTTGAAGCCGTCTTGGGCCACCTTGGAGCGCTCTTGGGCCGTCTTGAGGCCCTGCTGCTTGGGCATCCCTTGGGACGTCTTCGGGCTGCCTGGGCCGCCTTGGGGGCCAATTGGGGCTCTCTTGGGCGCATCTTGGCCGCGCCTGGAACGATCCGAGCGCCACATCTGCGGCCAGGGTCCCGGCCCCAGGGCCCCCGGGCCTGGTCCCCCCTGTGGTACGCACACGCACCACCTACACTGAACAGCCCAGCACGCTCCGTAAGTCAGTGCGCATCAACGTCAGCAGGCTCCGAAAGCCAGCGCGCATCAATGTTTTGCAGTGCTGGGCCGAGACCTCAGATCGTCTCGCGCCACGCGATGCACGACGCGCGGGTCTTCTGCGCGCCCTCGCGCCCTCCCGCCGCCCGCGCGGGAGAAGGGCGCCTCTCCTACCCAAGCCGCAATGCGCGAAGCGCGATTCTCTTCGCGCCCCCAAAGGGGGACCTAGAAGATCACGTACGAAACAACTACGTACCCAGATGCGCGGAATGATGCCGCCCAGATGTAAGCAGTCACACCAGCTTTCCCCGGCAAGGGAATTGGCCGCAGCGGGCCGCGAGGTTCGCGTGCTGGCGGCCCCTGGCTCAAGAGACAGAGAACAGAGCGTCAGGCCGACAAATATCGCCTGCAAATGGCGCCGAGGGCGCCTCGGGCCGCACATGAGAAGCTGCCCCACGCACTTGGAAAGACTGCGGAGACGCCAAGGCTGCACCAAACAAGCCACGCGGTGCAGAAGAAAGCACAAACTGTTCATGTGCGCTCAAACCACGGAGAATCTCCAGGAATGAGCTGAACCGAATTGCGAAATCGGATCGGATCGGATCGGAAACAGATCGCATCGACTGCGAATCTTCCCGAATCGAATCGAAATCGGATCGCCGAGCCTGGCTCCCGTGGACCCCAGCCGATGCCAATGAACCGAGCAGAATCGAGTCGAATCGGAATCGCGGCCCTAGCCAGCGAATCGAATCGCATCGAATCGGATCGCAGGCGAATCTACCGGCACCCGCTTGCCGGGGCTGACAAGGCGTATGGGACATTTGGCTGTCCCCCACCCCCGTGTCCCATCATCTGGAGTTCAAAATCCCACTACAGGGGGGGAGCCGGAAAGAGCTCCTCGGGGGGGGCGGGAGCAATTCCCCGGCGCACCTCCCCGGCCCTCAGAGCCCCCAAATCCATCATCCGTGGCCTCAAAGAGGCACAAGGAACCCTCGAAAATGGATCAAGGAGGGTAACAAACCGCCGCAGAGGCTTCATGAACATCCAAGACGGCCTCGGGACGGCCCAAGGAAGCCCCGAAGACGCCCAAAGAGGGCCCCAAGAGGACGCACAAGACGGCCTCACGAGGCCGAAGTCGCGGATGTTCCGTCGGCTTGTGAATGATGCTCGCATTCTCGTCTTTCTAGAATCCTGAACGCCTGAGACGGCCAAGAAGACCCTCAAGAGGGCCCCAAGAGGGGCACGGGATGGGACCCAGAGAGACATACTAGTACTACATGTTCTCATTGGAGGCGCGCGTCCGACCCGAACATATAGTATACCCATCTTGTAGTGCATCCTTTCCCGAGAGGTGTGGCCAGAAAGCGCCCACCGCGACACATATACTGCAAGATTTCTCGGTGCGCGCGTCGCCCCTAGGGGGGCGACGCACATATAGTATAAGTATGTTGGGGTGACGCCGAAGGGAGGCCCGAGAGGGGGAACTCGTTGGGGCCCCAGGCGCCATCTCCCACAAGATGGCCCCCAAGACGCCCACCGAGCCCCCGAAGGCCCTCGGAGGGCCTCCAGAAGCTCCCAGGAGCCCCGAACGGGCTCCCAGAGGCCACCCCCGAGGTATCCGAGAGGCCCCGAGAAGCCCCTCAAGAAGCCCCGCAGCAGACGCAGAGGAAGAGGCGGACAAGTCAGCAATACCCTTCCGAGGGCCACAGCGCCACAGAAATGCAGGAGGCATGTGTCGCGAGGCACAGGACACGAAGGTACCCTTGATTTGGCAGGGTCGGCCTACTAATCCGGGCCGACTGTAAAGAACCGGGCCATGTGCTGGCACCAAACAAAAACCAGGCGCACGAGGAGGGTCCTTATCTCGGCGCCCTGACTGCACACGCAGGCAGCACGACGGGCGTCGGAAGCCACAACTCTTCTCTGCTGGGGGTCGGCGGAATGGCGCAAACCCTTTGACTAAACAACTAGTCGATGCCCATACGGTAGCAGCCTCGTTTGAGCTCGAGTGGTTTCAGCCAAAATGGCTACCGACCTGCTCCTCCTCCTCCGCCTCCTCCTCCTCCGCCTCCTCCTCCTCCTGCTCCTCCTCCTCCTCACCCTCCTCCTCCCTTCTTCCCCATCATCATCCCTCCTCCCCCGTCTTCATTACTCCTCCCCCGTCGTCATCATCACTCCTCCCCGGTCGTCCTCATCACTCCTCCCCCGTCGCTCCTCCTTGACAGATCCCTTCTACACGGTAGAGGTGGAACCCGAGGACATCTGTTTATCCTCGGTGGTCCTCCTTCCCCCCCCCCACGCAATCATCCCTCACCCCTCCTCCCCACCTCCTCCCCTCCCCGCTCAGCATCCCTCCCTCAACAATTACACACTATGGATACTACTCTCCTCTCTCCCCTGATAACGTCCAGGAGATGTCCGGCCCCCTCCGCGTATTGTTTTTGTTACCATCGGATTCCTGGGAATTGGGTTTTCGCTTGGGCTTCTGTTCAAAATAAAATGCTGCTCCCGCTGAAGCGCTGGCTTCATTTTCGGGCTTCCGCTCTTTCCGAATTGTGCTCTCGCTGAAGCGCTGGCCTCATTTGCGCGCTTCCGCTCGTTCCGAATCGTGCTCCCGCTGCAGCGCTGGCCTCACTTCCGCGCTTCCGCTCGTTCCGAATCGTGTTCCCGCTGCAGCGTTGGCATTATTATTTCCAGTGCCATGCCGCGGCATGGTTTTCGATCCTTCCAAATAGGCCCCCAAATCTAGAAAATGGCCCCCCGAAAAACCATCGGAAGTGATTGCACATTCGGTGTCGATTCATTGATTTCTGGGGCCGCAGAAGCCCCCCCCACCCACACTTCGAGGCGTCGCCACACCATGCTATGTCATGCTACGCGTTGACCTTCAACACCATGCTATGCCATGTAATGCTACGCCATGCTACGACATTCGACTGTGCGAATACCGAGGAGATCTACGCCATGGCAAGGGATGGGAGCGAGGGGCAGGACGTTAGATACGACGCGAGCGCACCTGGCTTGCCCTCCCCCCTCCTTACTCCCCCCTCAACCTCCACCCCTCATCATCCCGCCCTTATCCCCCTCCTCCCTCCCCTCCCCCCCATCCCTCACCCACCTCCTCCCCCCCGAGTTAAGTGATTCTGGGGGCGGGGAGGAGCACCAGCCATAGACTCGTTTCAACTCCGGAGGTAAGTCGTTGTGAAGCAGGTAAGAAAGAAAAATGCTTGAATGACTTCACTCTGGAGTGAAGTCATAACTACCTTGCTGGTTTGAGTGATTCTCCCTCCCCCCCCCTCCGCCTCCCTCCCCTCCCCCCGCAGCAGAGGGATCGGGGACGGGCGCTGCAGCAGGGCGGGCGCAAACCGGCGGCCTGTGCACCCCGAGGTGTGCTCGCACCTCGGCTCGGCAGGAGGGGCCGCCTGCCCTGCTCGTGCTCGCCTCCGTGCTGCCTCGCCGACTTCTTTGGGGAAGCTCCCAGGAGCCCTGGAGGAGGAGGAGGAGGAGGAGGAGGAGGAGGAGGAGGAGGAGGAGGAGGAGGCTCCCAGAGGCCGCCCGCGAGGCGTCCAAGAGGCCCCAAGAAGCCCCTCAAGGAGCCCCCGCAGCAGACGCAGAGGAAGAGGCAGACAAGTCAGCAAAAACTGTATTGAACGCGCAAGGACCTACTAGTACTAAAGTTCCTGCTTGGAGGCGCGCGTCCGACCCGAACATATAGTACACCCGTCTTGTAGTTTATCGTTTCCCGAGCGGCGTGCCCAGGAAGCGCCCGCCACGACGCATACACTACAAGATTTCTCGGTGCGCGCGTCGCCCCTGGGGGGGGGGGGGGGGCGACGCACACAACATAGTATAAGTATGTTGGGGTGACGCCGATTCTTTCTTGTTCCGTACACGAAATTATTCCTTCCCGCTTCCTCACACCAGAGAGAGCGTGGGAGCAGCTTTTACGCGGGCTGTGCGTCACAAAATCCACCACCACCCCTCAGCAAAACCTGGAGCCCTCCAACCCGACCCCCCGCGGAAATCTCACATCTGGAACTGGGCGCAACCCCTCGTCCGGCGAGAACCACCCCCCGGGCGGAAATCCCCCCTCCCCCACGAAGACTGCGACGACGACGACGTCGACGACCACCACCACCACCACCACCACCAAAACCAACAAAACCGACTATTTACTAGAATGCTCAATGACTCTATATACGTCATGTATTCATCATGGTAGCTCCCCCCTCATGGGAGAATTATTTCACGCATCGGGGGCCCAATATTCCCTTGCCATGATCCCCCGCCCGAAAGTATTTGACCAACACCTCTTGCGAGGCATTTTACCATCTCCAATTCAAATATATTTGAGGCCTCCGTTGGGCCGTCTTGGCGCCCTCTTGGGCCGTCGCGAGGCTCTGTTGGGCCGTCCGAGGGCCTCTTGGGGCGCCTTGGAAGTTCATTGGCGCCTCTTCGGGACCCTTGAGGCGCCTCTGCTGCAAAGGCCATCTCCAGAACCATCCTGGGATGGCCTGAAGCCCTCCAGAGGCGATACCGAAACGAGAGCTCCAGTCTTGCATAGAAATGGAGGAGAAAGTTCCAGCGGGAACGTCGTTGTTACTGGGGGGGGGGGGGGGGCAGTTTGCGGCACGAATGCGTGAACGTCACCCCTGAGAAATTATCCCAGTGCGACCCTACCTAGGAATTGGAGCCCCTAGGAAAGCAGCATTAGTAGTAACAGTAAAGCTAAGCTAAAGCTAAGCTAAAGCTAAGCTAAAGCTAAACTAAAGCTAAGCTAAAGCTAAGCTACAGCTAAGCTAAAGCTAAGCTAAAGCTGAGCTAAAGCTGAGCTAAAGCTAAGCTAAAGCTAAGCTAAAGCTAAGCTAAAGCTAAGCTAAAGCTAAGCTAAAGCTAAGCTAAAGTTAAGCTAAAGCTAAAGTTAAAGCTAAGCTAAAGCTAAGCTAAAGCTAAAGTTAAAGCTAAAGTTAAAGCTCCCAAGGGATTGGGGGAACCGCGGGGCGGATGCCGGGGGAACCGCCCAGGGCGATTTCCACTGCCCGGCCCCTTTAAGCTTAGACGGTAAGAACCCTTCTAGGTAGAGCCTAGGTAGGGAAAAAGCGAAGGACTATCAAGCGGGAGCGCTGATCTTGTTGGATGTTCGAGCCAAAGCGCCAGTCTTGAGAAAAAATATGTAACAAAACCAGCAGGAGCGTCGTTGTTGTAGAGGGGCCGGCGGTTTGCGGACCCGAGGCGCGAACGGCACTCCTGAATACAAAGCGAGGACCTGTCGAGCGGGAGCGCTGGTTTTGTGGTAGAGCCAGCTTTCGGCGGCGAGCATGACAGAGCGCCAGTCTTGGTTGAAAAGCATGGGAATATCGAGCGGGAGCGTCGTTGTTGTAGGGGTGGCTGGTTTTCCGACCTAACGCGGGAACGCCACTCCTGAACACAAAACAAAAAGCGCTGGTTCGTTGGAGGGCCAATTTTCGGCGGCGAACAGGACCACCAGTCGTGAGCAAAAAACAAGGAATTGTCGAGCGGGAACGTTGTTGTCGTGGGGGGCTGGTTTGCGTACCCAAAGCGCGAGCGCCACTCCTGGGTACAAAGCGAGGAAGTATCGAGCGGGAGCACTGGTTTGGTTGGAAGGCCAGTTTTCGGCGGCGAGCAAGGGCACCGGCCCTGAATGAAAAGCGAGGAAGTATCGAACGGGAGACTTGTTGTTGTTGGGGGGTCAGCTTGGGCGCCGCCACCCCCCCCGAAACGCTCGAGCGTGAGCCTTTTTTTCCAAGGAAATGCAGCCAGCGCCGAGTCGAGAGCGCGAAAGGGCTCCAACATTCATCACTACTTGATGCGCAAGATTTAAGACGAGGTTATTGAACGCTTTACAGAGTATCTCCACACCGCTTGAGCGTTTGACGCAGCACTCATCACTCACCTGCTCGGTTTTCAAGTTCAGAGCCCGTCGCCCAAATCGACGCCAGTTTGGAAGTCTTCACTAATTGCGAAGAGTTCCACGTCCAACCTTCGCATCAAGGCAGCAACTTCGGTGTCTTCCCCCGTCTGCAGGCGCACTTGTCTGGGATGACGCCTTTCGACCAGCTGCCGCGGACTGCCGAAGTCTTGACCAGTGAAAGAAGCGGCGCCATCCTTCACCGCAGTGGCACCGTACCTCTGGTCAGATCGATTGCAACCGAGTGACGCCCGATACAACAGATCGATTACATATACTGGGGCTGCTAGCATCGCATTGACTGAGCTTGTGAGCGCTTGGACGACACACTCGAAACTATTGTTCACAGGAGCTGCAGCTGATGGTGCGATCCCCAACTGCCCAGCAAGTTTCGTCAACGATTGGCTCCTTTATGCAGCGATGTCTGCCCCAAGATCGTCGATACCAACGATGTGCTCCGCATCGAAGCCAAGGTCCAACTGATGGCTGACTTTCAAGAGGTATGCAGCCCACACGTTGCCAGGAATTGTAGACCAAGAGGCTGAGAGGACGTGGGCACTGCCAAACATGTCCGATCGCAACTTGCCCAACCCAGATCTCTTGGCAGCGAGCAGGCGGTGCCGCCACAGTACCCCTCGGCAAGAGGACCCAAGCCGCCAACTCGGCCAACGAAGCGCTGAAAAACGGACACCATATCGTCCATCAGTTCGGCGGGCGTGGCCTCGTCAATGACCGCGCACCCAACATGTCCGTGGCTTCGAGCGTGCCGTCTCAGTCGATCGTCACCAGACACAGGCACGGGGGCGGCACCCGCGCAAGAGATTCGCTGCCGGGGGGGGCTGGAACACCTCGGGGCCGACTGTTGGAGCGAGGCACGCGCAAACCTCAGCTGTTCTGGTCGAGCAGCTGCCACAGCCTGGCGAGGAGTGATGCAAATTCCATTCGGCTCGACGTCGGCATGATTTCGCGAAGTCCGCCACCGTGCCGGGAGTGCCCTTAAGTCTCCTCGAGTTCTCCGCGTTGAATATTGTGAACACTTTCTCTGGTGGGTGGTAAAGGAGGGTGACCCGAATGGGGGGTGAAGAAATGGCCCTAAAGGACCCCTTTAGAGCTCCTTTTGGAGACAGAAGGTGCCCAAAAGGGGCCCTAAAGGGCCTCTTAGGGTCTTTTTCTTCACCCCCCATGCGTGCCACCCCCACATGACCTGGGGCCCGGCTTTCTGGGCGCTCTTGGGGCTTCTCGCGCGTCTTCTCGAGGGGCAAGAGATCGAGAAGACGGCCAAAGAGGGCCCCAAGCTGGTCCGAGAGATCCCCGAGACGACCCAGGAGGGCCCCAAGACGGCCCAAGATGGCCTCAGGACGGCCCAAGAAGCCTCCAAGACGGCCAAGGGGCCTCCAAAAGAACCCCCACGGAGGCCTCCAAACACAAACATAGCTTACATCCGTAACGCTTTTGACAGTTTTCTTTTCTGCCACTTTGGGGACTCTGAACTCCCAAGATGGCCAAAGACGGCCCCGAAATCGCCCCCAGAGGCCTCCGAGAGACCCACAAGAGCGTCCAAGAGGGCCCAAAGACGGCCAAGGAGGCCTCAAGAGGCCCCCAAGAGAGCCCCGAAAGGGGCGGAACAAAAATCCAAACTGTCATGTCGAGACCTTCCCGCCAGTATAGCCCCCGAGACGACCAGCGGGCCCCTAAGACTCCCTCAAAAGGCCCCAAATTGGGCCCCCAAGAGGCCCTTCACAGGTCTCGAAGAGGCCCCCGAAAGGCATCCCAACAAAATCCGACGCATGCACGACGCAACTCGCCGCTCGCTATTACTGGCAAAATATTGCTTAGCGCGCGAAGTTGTCGAGCTCTTCTGGCCCTTCCAAGAAGTTCCCAATGGCCCTCGGCGCATTCCGCCAGCCACCCAGAAAGCCCATGGCATACCCAAAGTCAAGAGAATAAAACCCAAGATTGCCAGGATGGCCCCAGATGGCTTCCAAAACGGCCTAAGACGGTCCGAGATGACATGCAAGACGGCCCAACAAGGTCCAAGAGGCGATGCCTCTAAGACGGACCACGATGGCCTCAAGAGGGCCAAGCATTGACTCAAGACAGCCCGAGTGGCCCCCAGGACGCCCCAAGACTGCTCCGAGAGGCCCTGCAGGAGTTCCCTGCAGTATTGAAATTGACTTTGACGCTCTCGACTTGAGAGCTTCCAAGAGCCCAACAGCCCAAGAGGCCCCCAAGAATACCTCAAGATAGCCTAGGAGGCCCCCAGGAGGGCCCCCGGACCGGCCAAGAACGGCCCGAGAGGACTCCAAGACGGCCCCGACCCCCAAAAACGGCCCTGGAGACCTCCAAGATCCTCAAAGCGCCCCAAGAGGGCACCACGAGCGCCCTAAGACGACCCAGAAGGCTCCCAAGAGGCCCCCGAGAGCCCCCAGGGGCCCACGAGACCCCCCTAAGAGGCCCCCAGAGCCCCCGA